TTTATAACTGGCTTGGCCTATTACCCTTGCTTCCTCAAAGACGAACGTGTGATTCTTCTGCTGTACGGGGATGATGAGAGCAATATTATAACTGGACCTCGAATATTTTCGCATAGTAATAATGCTTTGCATAACTTCTACAGGGTCTACAAAAGGGCCAGTTCCAAACGCAAATGCCGCACTTGAGCCCAAATTCATACCTCTAGTCTTTATGCTTGTTGTTGAACCAACGGTCGAATAGCATATACCCTCCCAGAACATATCCAGATAGCGGATTAACGTACCGTTGAGCTAATTCTCCGCTCAATGCCGTTTTTCACATGGTAAATAAGAAGTGTGGCATCTCCTAAACCGTCTACTTGATATAGACATAAATACCTCAAATTAAAACAGCATGATTTATTCTAGGTCCGTATACATAATTTACTGTTACTTGCAATATTCCGTAGTAGACTCCCGCAATACTAATTAATGTGCACTAACCTATCTCAGTCCGACTCCTCTGCCTTTCTGTTTTCTCATCCTAATTTGCCAAAAACTTTGAAAATAGGTGAAAGAGGACTGATTCAACCACCATAGTCTTATGCTTGACTGCTACCATTTACTCATCAGCATCTTCAGTAACTTGATGGTTTTTTAAAATCTTTTTGCAATGCAGATATGAATCTTTTGACTTTCATCGGGAGTGTTCTGCCCTTAAATGGCATCGTCTGAGCATCCTCCTTGACCGACTAGAGCCTGAGATCGTCGCGATGCGGTTAGTTCTCTTTCTCTTTTGTCCCTTATCCCAGTGTTTCGTTCTTGCTATCTACCCACGTGCGCTGTAAACCCTTCTGTTAGAGCATGTCAGAGCTGGAAGCTTCTAAAGGTGATGGAATGCACCAGCCAAACCATATTTTGTCAACTAGATTACAATTAGTACTTGCAGCTTATCTTATGCCAAAACGTTCACTCCGTAGTCGACAACAGAATCTTGCCCACGGACACCGTTTGTTTAAAACCCGGTTTTACATCATTTCATATTCAAAGACTGGTTTCAAAACTCGCAATCCAGAATAAACTTGTTTACTATACACTTTAAGGTACACCTCATTTTGAGCCCTACAGATCGTGTTTGCTAAAAG